TGCCACACCTACGCTACATGTACGTTTTAGTTTCTATAAGATCTTTCTGATCTATATAAGAAAACTGGTAATTTCAAATGTAAAGAAAATGAACTAAATGCTTGTTAAATATACAGGAAAACAAAAGAATTTTTCTTCGGTGAACATTTTGATTATGTTCCCGATAAAGGACTTTGTTTATGGTAACAGTAGTGAATGGTGAATAAAATTTTATGCTACCAATTACGTGATTTGGAAAAGAAAATTATGTGACACTATGTAAATTGGATTTTATCTAAATGTTTGTGTGGAAATACTGTCTCTACCTAGAGTAATATTTTTCAATATCATTGATAATAAAAGAAATGTATAATTCTTAAAAAAATGAAAACAAATTCAAGATGAAATCAAATCTATTGATTTTTTTTAGTTAAATTACCCATTTCATTTAATTGTCACATTTCATTAATATTAGCTTTCGCCAGCGACTCCGTCTACGTGGAATTAAAAAAAACAAAAGTGAGTAGCTTATGTATTCTTCCAGATTATCCACTACATCTATACCAAATTTCATTGAAATCTGTTCAGCCGTATAGGTTACAAAGTCTAACAAACATCCATCCATTCATCCATCCATCTAAACTTTCACATTTATAATATTAGTAAGATTATAAAATGGAAAGATTTGTATGTTTGTCTGTCTTACAATAAATCAAATACTACTAGGACGATAAAAATTCTTTCACCATTAAAAATCTACTTAACAAGTGGATAACATATGGTTTTTATTATTTTTTTAATTTGACGCTCGCGAAGTCACGAGCAACAGCTATTTTTACAATAAAAGCAATGATTCCAACAGGCTTATTGACAGAAGCTAGATACGTAGTAATGCACTTTGAGTATAGCAACACTTAAAGTGGAGTATTTGTTCAATAAATGTCACACGAGTTGTGTTAAAAGTGTTACGATTTAAAATAAAACAATGACGTAAGCAAGAGGATTGTTCATTTGTTTTGTAACATTGAGATAACTAACTATACGTTTTTGTATAAAATTTTCATTCTATGTAATGTTATAAATGCGAAAGTTTAGATGGATGTTTGTTAGAGATCAGCTTAAACGACAGATCTCGATGAAATTTAGTATAGAAGTCAGTCTAGAAGATTATGTAGGTTACTTACTTTTTTAATTACACGCGGAGTCGCGGGCGAGAGCTATCAGTCACATCCACGTTCCCTTCCCATCCTATTCATATGAGAAAAAGGGTGGGAAGGTAAAGGCTCTAAAGTAGAGGCTCCGGTACCACACTCATCAGACGAAACCCGGAATTGCTCCCACTTCAC